TAAAATTCTATTCTTCTTTACAAACTTATAATAAAACTGAGATGGGTTAATTTGGCTTTCACATCAATCATATCTATATTATATATAATTAATATATTTTCTAATAGTGTAATTAAGAATCTTGAAATGACGACATGAAAACTGCTTTCATTAAAAGCGATGAGTATACCGTAAGTGCACGATTCATCTATAGGTACAGTAGCGACGGCTTCTTTTCACGTATCTCTTGAGTCATTGATGCTTTGGAGATATTAAAAACGTGGATAAAACAAGGAAAAAACGTAGCATTGCGCAAAAGGCTTCTCATCATCAGACATTGAAGATTACTATAGAATCTCAGTTTATATACCATTTCTTGACGCTAATATTTGTCTTATACAAAGCCGATTTAAAAAGACAAATTAATTCTTCAAAGCAATTTGGACAATTATTCTTGGAAAATAATTTTAATTTTGGGAGGAAAAGTGCACAAAACACTTCAAATTTTATGAAGAAATCTCTTATTGTTCTGAATCAATATATATACATATATTAAGTCAACAGGAATTCTGAAAATCGTGCTGTCAGGTATATGGCTGCTAGAGTAAGTATCGAACCGATGTTATCCATCTTTCGCGCCACGACATATTTTTTCCAGAAAAAACTGACTTTCTTTAAGGTACACCACAGATTGACCTACATTTTCGATAAAAAATCAGCTATAAGCACTGAGGCCCACCAATCAGTATCGGTATTTCGATAGATTCATTGCTTGGTGCTTGATTTTTATACTGTCAAGTGAAATAATCATATGGAATTTTAAATTGTTATATAGGGAATGAAGTCATGGTTGTAGCCCAACTCAACCCATTTGCGCAACTGAGGTATAGGATTTTTCCCAAAATGACACTCCCATTGTCTAATTCATACAGTGGCTCCCATGAAGCCCTTCCATACCAACTTATACTATGTTCGCACCGACACAAAATTCGTATTTTCATAGACAAAAGAGTGTTTTGTTGTGTTGTGTTTTCATCCATACAAAATCTGTCAAATGAAAACACAGTTTTCGCTGAAAACCCCTTGAAAACTTACATTCCACTCATTATAATCGGTGCCTGCTCTAGTTTAATCGATATTATTAGAAGACATATTTTGCCAGCCCTAAATGTCAGTTGACAATTTGTTTACATTCCATAATTAGCCTAAACGTACCCTACAAGAAACTGCTGAGGGGTTCACCAATACACTCACATTTTATAAGTCAGTACTGTTAATTTACATTTGCATTTTTATATTCAGAACTATTCACTGATTGGAGAAAGACGTACGCAGAGCTATTGAGAGGAGTAGATGGCATCAAGTGAAAATTTATTTTCATATTTTATTATATTTTTTGTTGCATTCCTTTTTATATTTAAGTATATTATTATAACTAATTTTGATTAAAAGTTTGAAATTTATTAAAGAAATAAAAATTATATCCGCAACGTTGCGGAAACGATCAATGGCCTACAATGTATACACATATTTTAGAGGGTCTCCGACGTTTCCTTTTAATACTTCACTTAGTGCCCGAATCGTAGACCGAATCAGCTGATACGATGTATCATATGAGAGCGCAATCTAGAAGTACACTCACCACCGCTTCTACCGTCTGTATGCGTCGATATCCGCGAAAATTAGATTTTTCCCGTCGAAACGAGTCAGCTGATTGCTCTCTTACAACGCAGTTTTACCAGTTCTTGAGCGAACTTAATATACCTTTTTCAGGGTATACAATTTTATAGCGTTGAAGACAACGGTTTATTAATGACGCATACTCATACTTATATCAAAACCCGCTAACTTTGTTGTTGATTTTACATGTAATTATTTTGACAGGGTAAAATCTTAGGTGAACGCTGGAACAAATCATAAACACAAAAAACAATTGTGGTCTTTCCGGTGCATACTACGTACAATAGGCCAGGATTAGAATTAGGGTAACTAGAAATTTTAATGTACTTTATTGTAGTAATCATTCAAATGATGATTCAGCTTTTTTTAAGGATTCTGCTCATCAATTAGTGCCATCTTTTTGTGACATCTTAGAAATGGTCTTAACGAAAACAACGACCGAATATATTTGCAAACAAACTTCAATATTCGAGATAATGAGAAGGGGATACAATTAATTAATATCTCATCTCTTGCAGCACCACCACATCGTCGCAACCTTTTACGAAGACAGTCTAACTTTCTTAGAAAAGGTTTCAATGAACGGATTTTCTTAATACCTTTCCATTTCTCACTGAGAATAGCATTATATTGTTCTAGGAGGTTTTAAGAGTACACGATGACTTGAAACATTTTCTGTCGCACATTGCATCAGTAAAGCAATTACTGTTAACAAGGACCCTCGACATGTGTAACGAAACCAGCAGTTCTAATCGAGCTATTTAACAATTTAACTGACTTCAGAAATGAATGATAAGTATTGACAAGAATTGGCGGTTATATCTGTCAAGACCACGGTTAAGACCACGGTTAAGATCATGGTAAATGCAATCGAATTAGACATTCTCCTAACCCAACACACCCAATAAAAATAAAGCGAATTATTATAGAATACGCACATACAATATTAACTATGTATATCGCCTGGTATCTGGGTGTTATTTCATAGTTGAAATTATATAAAAATGTTAAAATTAGGGGAATTGAACAATAAAACCTACAATAAAAGGCAAAATATATTAAAAGACTAACGGAATATTCTCACCAACGCTTAAGTGCGTGGCCACAAAATTCATAATTCAAATTCATAATTGATCAACAAACAAAAGCCGAAATTGTGCAATTCGCAAATTGTGATTGAAACTAAAACGATAGCGAGGGCATGCTTACCTGTATGTATATAAAAATGTATACTAATTTCATATGTATGTACATGTGTATATACCTATGTATGTACATATGTATGTGTGCTTTTACATTTGTTTTGCTAAATAATATAAAGAAGCACCAAATTATAAGCGGGGGCATACATACACACGTACATACATACATACTTACTAATTAAATTGTCTTGCATTATTGGTAAAGCCAGGCAACAAAATTAGATATTTTCCTTTAAAAATCATACTTACCGCAATTGTGTACATGACCTTTGCCAATATTTTAAGAAACTAGTGGTTTTATTGTTGTTGCTAGCGATAGTAGGTGTTTCCATTGAATTTGATGATAATGAAGGAGACGCAAAACCGCTTCGTCAAAGTAGACAATCTGCAGTGAATACTTAAGTAGATATGAATGTACATATGTACTTATATATAAGTTAATTGTTTCTTACCAATTTGACGACGTTGAATCTTGACATTTGTGTGTTTTTAAATTAATAAACCACAAAATTATTTAAGTTATGAATATTTTCCCGTTCTTCGCAGTTTTCTGATTTATTTCTTAATACTTAATTTATCAGCCAAAAGAAAATTTAAATATTTATAAAATTTGAAAAAAAATTTGAGTGAAAACTTTATGGGTACGTTCGCAAAGTCTATCAAATGCAACGTCATTGTGTAGCGTCACACTAAATATACCGAACGATAGCAGTCCTACCACATATCTTAATGCTTATCATAGTGTATACAATTAAAATAATAAATTCAATATAACAAGCATCTGTCATCAAATGAAAACAGGAATAAACGTTAACTTCGGTTGCACCGAAGCTAGAATACCCTTCACAAATAAAGAAGTTTCCACACAAGAACTTGAGTTTGATCGTTCAGTTTGTATAACAGCTATATAATAAAATAGTCTGATCTGGAAAATTTCTTCAGTTTTGTAGCGCTGACTTAGAAAATAATCTATGCCAAATCTCGTGAAGATATATTATCAAATAAAAAAGTTTGTCATACAAGAACTTAATCTTGATCGTTCAGTTTGTATGTCAGCTATATGCTATGGCTGTTTTCGGTATTCGCTCGCTTCAATTTTGCGTTCTCCATTAATGGTTTCACACAGTCTAAGAGCTTCTGATCTCACAAAATTCAGAGCATTACCTTCATGGACATTCGACTTTGCTGTTGATTTGGCAGGTTGGTAAAGTTTCACATACATATGTATGTATGCTTGATTTTTTGCGCTTAGGATTGCCGTAATGAATCCATTTTTTATCACCCCATATATGACACCCAATTTCCGTGCAATTTTAAAATTACTGCTTGAGTGACTCAAAAAAAGATTCTTCAAGCTCTTCTTGAGTAATGCCTGCAGTTCATCCTTTTTTGGCAGTTCAGGACGTTCTTCGTCTTCCAAGCCAAAATCGCTACTTTTAAATCGTGCAAACCATGTTCATCATAAACTTCCACCAAAATACAATGACTATCGGCTGAGCGTTTCTTGATATTAAAGTAACGGATAACAATTTCCCGCAAAAAAACCTTTTCAGGCATAAAGTTCGACATATTTGAGTGAAAAAAATTGCACAAAGAATTGCTGCTTTCATACGATCTCTAACTAACGGTACACTTCAAAAGTAATTTGAAGTGCGTTTTTCTATTTTCGAAAGGCCCGATGTAGCTAAATGGTTATATTACCCTTAAATTGTGATTATTCTCTTTCCTTAAGGCGGGTGGTACATAATATGTTCATCTCGAACACGGTAACCTTATTTACGACCATTCCAAATGTATAATTTACCATTATTGGTATCAAGAATCGTTGTCCACTATATACTTTTTGAAATCTATACACCATATTTCTTTTCATAATTTTTTTTTTAAATATAAATATTTCTTAAGCAATTATTATGTCTATTGGTGTATTAATATTTTTAATACACCAATTGCCTTACATAATAGGATTGTTAATTGATTATTATAACAGTATTATAACTCCAACCTTTAAATGAATAAATGCATCTGTTGGGATCCAAAAAATGTATCAATTAGGGCCCCTTTTAATTTATCTAAGTGATGTTTAAGAGATAATAGTAAAATTACTTACCGTCAATCGTTCAATAACAAATAAAATACTTAAGATTTTATAAAATATTTTATTATGTACATATAAGCATAAAAGCAGGAGTGATTTTTACAAAACAACTGCTCGAGTAGTTCATTACCAAAAGTACGAATACCGATGAGGTGAATATAAGCTCTCTTACGCATAATCTTATAAAACTAACGTCACAGTTGAACAAAACCTTATCAAAACAAATAGCCAAGGCAAACATAACCTTATGTTGTTGTTCTTCTTCTTCATCGATTGCAGTACACAGTATTAACAATACAATTGTGCTCAGCTAAAAAGCTAAAAATTAAAATATTTTTATTCTCTATTGGCGATTTGTCCACACTTGCTTCGAAACACCAAGGAATCACAAACATATTTATAAACATAGTTAACAATAATGGGTACCTAAGAAAAAATGTTTGAGTAATTATAAGTAACAAAAAATACATATATAGAAAAATTGGTTAGGTAAATACATACGTATACGCGATTATTTAAGAAATAATGTAAGTACAAGTAGTTACATATATTATATTCTGGCATAATTTTAGACACATACAAAAATATATTTCCATGATTTTGGTTCATTAGTCCCTATTTCCATCCTATTATAAAAACGCCGGATCATGAAACAGAAAACTTACAAGACTGCGAAGAGCTAAAAATTAGTTAATGGATAAAAATACTCATAAATAACTCTCGGTACATTTTCCGGATATAAAAAATTTAAATATGGCTGATGAATATGACATTGCTACTTCTACAAGCTTATCAGTTATATTTTTAGGTAATCAGTTAACAGGTGAGATTGTCTGTCCAAATTTTCTAGCGCGGCCAGCGAAGCCTTTGCTACCATCTGGTCCTATTGGTGTACGAACCAAATTCTCGGAGTTCCTTTGTGCGAATGATCCCGAACGAGAACGGGGTGAGTTGTCAAGAAAGCTACCAGTTCGTGATCTAGGTGGTCCATCAAAATCGATCGCATGCTTGTAATTGTTCAAAAAACTGCCGGTTCGTGAGCGTGGTGAACCTTCATATTCAGAACCAAACGAGTAACGCCGATCATAACCGGAGTCGGTGGATATTCGCCGACCATTGATGTACTGCGCATTGTCATATGCAGCCATTTTGTTGGCCGCATTGAAGTTGTTGGAGTAGCGACGAGGGAAAACGTTGTAACCACCGCCACCACCACCCACATTGGGATCATCATAAGTAGGGTCAGTTTGTGTGTCCACTGACTGCTTGCGTTGTTCAAAGTTATAATCATTAGATATACGGCGTGGGAAATTATTGTTTCCGCTGTTGCTCATCTCGTTCGGATTGGAAAAAGTACGTTCGAATTGCATGGAACCGTTGGAGAAACGGCGCTCTCCGCCGCTTCCAGTAGAGCTTTGAGACATTTTCCGATAAACTTCTGTTAGTCCAAAGTCAGATATGCGCCTTGAGCATGGACAATTTTCAGAACAATTGGAGTCTCGACGTTGGGACATATTCTCCGAACAGTTCGATGGACGGCGTGAATCTGAAAAACTGGAGTAATTGTCTGAACAATTTGATAAGCGTCGCACCAAGTTGCTGTTGGAGTTGCTAATAGTACTTTTGTTAACTGTATTGGTAGTCACTGGTGATGTATTTACGGAAGCATCCACAACTGGTGCGGACCCGGCAGAAATGGTTGAGTTATTGCTATAGCGACGTGGTGAATATGCGTAAAAGTAAGCAGCAGCATTGTTGTTGCCGCTGACGCCAGGTGAGGTCGGTTCGTTATTACCAGCCACACGAGGCTGATAGGCTTGAAATTGGTGTAAGAGTTCATTGCCAAAGTTACCGCGATGCTGTGAGCTATGCATATTGTGCTGCGTATGGTGAAAATGTGGTTGACCATTGACATTGTTGTGGTGGAGCTCTGGCAGTGGTTTAGGGTGGATATCAGAATTGAAGCGTTTAAATTTGTAACGCAAATCTGTGACATCATGTGGAACAATACCGCTGAAACTGCCTCCTCGTGTACGTTCATAGGTAGCGTCATTGTAGTAGCGATAGTTCTCCACCATTCGTGCAACCGGTGTCGCCACCTGTATGATAGCTTTCTTTCCCGTCTTCTTCTTGGGAGCAACCATTTCGAAAACTTGAAACGGTCCCTGCAAATTTTTGGCTTCACGCGCCGATGATGACTCCAAATATTCAACAAGGGCACATTCCTTCTGTTGCACCTCTGGGTATTTGTTCATGAACTGTCTAACATCCACTGGTATCGTCATACCTGGTTTTAAAATACGTATCAATGCGATCTCGCCACATTTGGAGAATATTTCCGAAACTTTTTCAATAGTCAGCTTATCGAGTGGCAAATCGCAAGCAACAACAGTGCGTGATGGCATTGTTTCATCGAAATTGGGTAAAGGCTCAATACGACGGACTTTTGTGCCCACATCGTTCAGTTCGATCTTTTGTGATTTGCGTCGCAAAGCGTCGCCAACAACTTTCCACTCCTTGGTTAATTGGCGAACACGTTTAAAACTGGAAACCAACTTGAGACTAACAAAACCCTCTTTGTTACGTCGAACGTGCTTTAGTAAAAACGCATCTTTAAGTATGCTATCATTTGAGAAGTAAAATTCTACTGCTTCGGTAATTTCAGCAGCTAATTCTTCACTTGGTATCATTGATAGATCTAATGTATCGATTTCATTGGTAAGTGAATGATCTGTCTTCAACTCTGTTTTTTGATTATTTTCCGTGGGGGATGACGTAGAGTTGTAATCTACAGCTTTGATTATGTGCTCTTCAGTTTCTGCAGGTTCCGATATTGAAGGCTTCTTCATAGTCAAAAAGGAGCGGTGTACACGTTTGGGTTCGGTCGGTGAATTGGCCGGAGCTACAGCGGGCGGTGGTGAGGCTTCTGGAATATCTTGGTTTGTAGCATCGGGCTCCAATTTAAAGTTCGGATGTAGATATATATTATCCATTTGTCGGTAATAATCGTTGTGATGGTTTTGATGTGAACCATTATGTTTATGAAACTTTTCTAAATTCGCTTCGCTTAGAACAGCTGCGGCAGGTGTAATCAAACTAGGATCAGTTTGAAACTGTGAGTTATCACACTCTACAGGAGACGAGCTCAAGATGACATCATGCAATACGTGATTATCGACAGCGAGCGGCTTTAATTCATCGTCCTCTTCCGACTCTTCAGAATCCTCTATAGAGGAACCCATACCAACATCAATTAACTTGTCCTCATAGCACTCAACCGATCTGCTCCTAGCCGTCAGTGGTGCATGTGAACCACCCAATGGAATTGGTATATCAAAGACATCTGGGCTCTGATTCGTCTCATATTCACTACCACCTACAGCACCTTCGTCGCTACCGAACTGCGAGTCCAATGACTGTGATTGCCCAACTTGTTGCAACAAGGCCTCAGCCGAACGTTTAGCATGAAATCTTAGTAATTTTGATGGTAATGACGAAGAAATGGGCACAACCGCCTTAGATAAATCTGAATGGTGCAACAACTGTGGGCTCGTCGAAGTGGTTGGACTTGGATTATTGACATTTAATTCTTTGGGCATAGTTAAAGAGTTCTTTTCATTAAAGTGTTCATCATCAGTTTTGCTTAAGATACAGGCTTGATTCTCTGTTTCGGTAATCGTTTCAGTTATAACTGTTGTTACCACAAAAGTATGGCCACCATTAGCGTGACCTGCATTAACCTGACATAATTCTTGTTCGAAATCGGTAAACTTTTCTGATCTCTCAGCATGAGCGGCAGAAGATTCACTGTTCCCCAATTGGTTGTCTGGAGTTTCACTCATCTTTTTCTTTATTTTTAGCTACCAGCGGAAGCACTATTAATTTATGTAGAATTCCGTTGGCTGCTCTCGATATTGACCTTACTCAATATTTCTTAGTAAAACACTATTGGTGGCTGGCTGGTTATTTGCTCCCGACTTTTTAGAACACTGATTCTATATTTGCATATGAAGCCCCGCACTCCACCAAAGCGTTATAATTTGTCTTGTTTAGCTTATCTGCTGAATGCTCCTAAGTTCATATTGTTCGCAACACTCTTACTTTTTCGTTCTTTGGCACTTGTTTTCCCTTTCTTCTTTGCACAAATAATTCAATTCACCTAGTTGCTATGCGGTAATTTTTGCTTTGTAAGCCGAAGGATGTCGATTATGTTAAAAACAATGCAATTGCAACAACGCTCAGGTATGGTTAAATTAAATGTTTGTGAAATTGGTAACCTGCTAACGTTTAACTCTTTTATACACTAATTCGCCGTATAACGGGCCTTTGGGCTTTTGTATAGTTTTAAGTGTGTGATGTAAACACAGCCTCGGCTTGACTAAATGAACGTGTCTGGACTGAAAAGTTGTTTGCTCATTTCTTTTCGAGCCGTCTACGTATCACCCACTTTGCCTCAACTGCTCTCAACACGACCGTAACTTTTCTAGGTCATACATTGGCGTTCACCCACTTGCTTTATTAGATAATCGATTAGCGATTACGGTACGAGCATCAAGTGCAATTCACTTCACTTAATAATATGACACACCAGCGCGAATAAGTAGTAAGTTTTCAGTTTCGTTTGTTTACTTTTATTTTATTTATTGTTTGTGGTTGAGATCCCTTGCTGTTGTTGTTTTGACTTGCTCGGCCGGTTCGTCTTCGAAAATCCGAGTCGCGTGTTATTACTTGATTGACGGTGTTTTAATCACAGCTTAATTTAAATCAAAATCAAATGTATGCACTCACACACAGCTGCACAAACGCCAGGTTTCCGCAGACCGTTGTACAATTACGGTTGTTTCACAAGTACGTGCACTAACGTGTGTATATTTAAGTAGTTGCGAGAATCTTAATTTTTTTTTTTTTTTGGTTTTTTGCTTGTTTGCTTGGAAATTCAAGTTCAAATGTTTTAGCTTGTTCGTTTGTTGTGAGCGCGGACTAAATATTCCGTTTTGTTCGGCAAGTTCATGCAACGATGCAATGCGATTTTAGACTGAAATTGCAAATTGATTTGGGGTCGGTTAAATACCCTCTGCTTGCGAATGTCGGTGCTGCTACGCAACAAAGTGGCGCGTTGTGCGTCGTCACTGCGGGAAGCATAGGCGCTTATTATGGTTAGCCCGAGCGCAGCGTACTTGCACAGTACGCAGTCGATCGAGTTGTCGGCCTTCCTCGTTGCCTGCAGTCGCCACTGCAGCTGCTGCGTTTTGGATGGGGATGTTGGGGGATTAGCCCGAGCTTGTTGCGCTCACACTTAATGTACGGTAGGCGTGTGTGTGTTTATATCGTGTGTAACAGTTATGTAGTGCGTTACAAAGAGCGACATACACATCGTAACATCAAACTTGTTATTCATGAAAAGGCGAATATGGCAAATCATTGAAATGAGAAATGTTTTTGCTTTTTCATTTGTCATTTATAAACCGTTTTTGTTGCCTTTTTTATTTTTTAAATAACCTGCTCACTTAATTCGTGAGATTCAATGTACCAATACGTTCTCGCCACAAGGTGATCGCTCGGTACTTCCGATTCAGGAGTGAGACGGTGCAAAAGCACGAACGTTGATCGCTAACGTCGCGATATTTTCGCAATAACCACTGCTTCGACGTTTTGAAGCACGTGCATGCGCTCTTTAATGCTCTTTTTTTATGTGTAATTGCGTTATTTTTCGATACGATTCACGCAAAAGTCTTTCATCTTCTTACCATATACCTGTACAAATGTGTATGTACATAAGTGGAGACGTAAGAAATTTTGAAAGGTGTGATGCATTCTGATATTTTTATTAAGTTCGTACTGCTGCCACACATACACTAATTGACTTATGGAGATCAAACTTCACACAAACACAAAAACGGTTGTTCCAATCCAACGAAAAATTATTAATCAATTGGGTTTGCGATCCAGTCCGAGTCAATTTTGATTTTGAGTGTAATTACCAGAATTAGAGCGTTGGGTGCTTCATGCCGGACACCATGACGCGAAATAGGAAGGAATGATGTTAATATATAAGGTCGTCAAATATCTCCCTTCCGCTTTTTTGTCTTTTGAATTTCGCGGCTATGTACAAAGCGCTACAGAGCTCGTATCTGGCAACACTATACATAATTTGAAAGGTCTTGACATAACCTACAAAACAACGCTATGCATGATTAGTTTGGATATTGCGTTCAACAGTTATAGACGTGTAAACATGGAGTTCACTAACGCCGAAATTCGCGCTATTTTAAAGTTTTCCTTCGTTAAAGGCAAATCCGCTAGAGAAACGTTCCGTGAGATTAATGGTGTTTTGGGGGATGGTACTCTATCACTTCGAACCGCGGAGGAATGGTTTCAACGATTCAGAGCCGGTGAAAACGACACCATGGATAAGCCAGCCGGCGGAAGACCTGTGACGACAAATACCGATCAAATCATGGAATACATCGAGTTAGACCGGCATATGGCATCTCGTGACATCGCCCAGGAGATGGGAGTTAGTCACCAAACCATTTTGAACCATCTGCAGAAGGCTGGATACAAAAAAAGTTGATGTTTGGGTGCCGCATAATTTGACGCAAAAAAACCTTCTGGACCGAATCAACGCCTGCGATATGCTGCTGAAACGGAACGAACTCGTCCCATTATTGAAGCGGATGGTGACTGGCGACGAAAAATGGATCACATACGACAATATCAAGCGAAAACGGTCGTGGTCGAAGGCCGGTGAATCGTCCCAAACAGTGGCCAAGCCGGGATTGACGGCCAGGAAGGTTTTGCTGTGTGTTTGGTGGGATTGGAAGGGAATCATCCACTATGAGCTGCTCCCATATGGCCAGACGCTTAATTCTACCATCTACTGCGAACAACTGGACCGCTTGAAGCAGGCGATCGACCAGAATTGGCCAACAGGAAGGGTGTAGTGTTCCACCAGGACAACGCCAGACCACACACTTCGTTTGATGACTCGTCAGAAGCTACGGGAGCTCGGGTGGGAGGTTTTATCGCATCCACCATATAGCCCGGACGTAGCGCCAAGTGATTACCACCTGTTCCTGTCCATGGCGAATGCCCTTGGTGGTGTGAAGTTGAACTCAAAAGAGGCTTGTGAAAAGTGGCTGTCCGAATTCTTCGCAAATAAGGAGGGGGGCTTCTACGAGGAAGGTATTATGAAGTTGCCGTCTAGATGGAAACAGATCATCGAACAAAACGGCGCATATTTTAACTAAATCCGAACACTGTAACACTTTTTATAAAGCATTGAATGAAGAGCAAAAAAGGGAGATATTTGACACCCTTATATTATTTAATCTCTATAAGCAAATTGACTTATGGCCCACATACATATCTTTTAGCACGGGGCAGTCATATTATTTGACAGAGTTTGGGGATCTTTCACCTAGCAGGAGAATTCTATTAATTTTAAATTCAATTTAAGTCTTGAAAATTATTTATTCTACAGATACATGTACACATGTAATGAGTAATAGTTTATTCGTTACTACAAAAAATTAAAGATTGTTCAAATACAACATGTTTTCTACTGATTTTTAATAAGTCACTACTTACGAGTTATTATTTAAATGGTATTACTGTTTCATATACTCATATTTATAAGTCCATTCTGCAATGTCTTCATTGTGTAAAGCTAATTATTTAAGAATGAAAAGCACTGTGGTTACGGGACTTCTAAGATGCCAACGTTGTACGTACCACAACACATAACATATTTAATCTTATGGATTATTTTTGCTTACGTTTGTTTACCAAGTAAACTGTAAAATCATCAGTTATTTCATGTAGTATTGTTACGTAAATGTATGTCAGTATACAAGTACAGTACAAGTATACTTCTATGGTAGGGCGCATATGACCCCATTACCCCTCTAATTGTGCAAGAAAATAGTCTTGTAGAATATTGAACTAGTCTGGCTCAAAACTGGAACGGATTTCTAACACATTCTTCACTCTTTTCTTTATCTCAGAAGATGAAAAGTACATTTTTAAATTTGTTCATTTGATTATTTTGAATGCACATTATCATATATCTATTTACAAAGTTTGAACTCACTTACAAGAAAATAAAAGTTTGGAGAGAAGTGAGTCGAACAAACATATATTATAAATCAAATAGTGGTAGGGATACTAGTTTAGCGTGATATTCACATATGTTACTCTTCTGCATTGCCTACAAACTGGATAACTTTGAAAATTTTAGGCAAAAAAGGATAGCTGAAGCATAGTGAGGGCAAAAAAACGAAAGAAAATTTAAAAACAACCAGTTTAATGTTTTTGCCTTTAAGTGCCTGTGTACTCGTATGGGTGTACAACCGGTTGCCTCAAGGTTATAATTGGATTTGTATTCGTTGCAAAGGGCAAACAAAGATTACTAATCAATATTTTCTTCTAGTTTCTGGTCTTAGCACGCTTTCCTCTACCTGTTTCCACCCTTTTTCTAAATCATTTCAGTGGAAATCTATTACCACTTACATATATTCCGTGTCAGAGCCCGAACTGTTTAACTTATATGTATGTATATAGGTACATATGTTATGTGATATTAAAAAATTGATGAAAACATGAAAACTACGTTTTTATCAAATGGTTTTAAAAAGCTTAAGGAAGAGCTTAGTTCGGGTGTAACCGAACATTTTATACTCTTGCAACCTACAAGGATCAAAGCAGGGCAAATACCTTCAGGTGTTAAGAAATCTTTATATTAAAAAATGCTGCGAAATAATTCAACATTCAATATTCAAATAAAAAAATCGTAAATGGATTACAATCAAATTCGGTATTTTATTAGGTTATATTATAGGTCACCGACGACTTAGTATTATTGCTATATTTTACTTCGCGTCAGCTAAAATTGTATTAAAATCATGTTCAAATGAGATATATATCAATATAATAAGATGATGTGATAACTTCAACTAGAGGATCGCAATTCATTATTTTAGGGATATAAGGTTTAGACCAAAGTCTAAACCAATTTCATTCATATTCCTACAAATTTTAAGAAAACTTGTTCCTCTAATTTTATTAAAGTATTACACATTTAGTCAGGTGGAAAGCCGGAAATTATTATACAGACAATATTGAGAGAACAGGGATGGGCTGATTGAGTTCATTTTGACATTATTGAGATATACTTAAGAGCATATTTTCAAGCAATTTTATAAATATATAACTCACACATTGAACGCATTGTTCGGCATAGGTTTGTAGTTAAAAATAACAGAAATCATTTTATGTACATATCTATGTAGTATATGTGAATTGGGTATTTGGTAAACTAAATTCACATTTTTTCGTCGTTGTATTATAGTATAAGCAATATTATACGTTCACTTAAGTTTTCTAACCAACTATTGAGATACATAAATTCAGAGAGGATCCTTTCCTGATCTATTATCAGGAAATCGTCTGTATATCAAAAATGGATTGAATCGGGTCAATACTTCTCTTAGCCACCATATACCTAATAGAAGGATTTTCGAACAACCGGCTAATTTTATATTATATATACAAATATGTGAATTATCTTAATAAAATTGAGAGAGTTAATATCATATACATAGGTATATCTCATTTGAAGATGTTTTTAATATAATTTTAAGTAGCGCGAGCTAAATAAAATTGAGTCTAATTTATTGATCTTTAATATAAGTCAAGAAGATACCGATTTCTTTTGATTGATTATAATTTCTTCACGATTTCTTCGAGTAATGAGTACTTAATTTATTCGCAACATTTTTAATAAAAAGTTTTACCAGCAACTGACGGCATTTGATTCTTGCAAGTTGCCGAAGTATAAAATATTCGATTACACCCGAACTTAGCGCTTATTAGTTTCCAACTAAAATATTCCCAAAAAAACATTAAAAACAAGTAACGAAAGACTAAGTTCCGATGTAAACGAACATTTTATACTCTTGCAACTTGTAAGGATCAAAGCCGGTGAATTATCTTCAGGTGTTGGCAAAACTTTATATTAAGAAATATAACGAAAAGGTTCCAGTTCATTGTTCGACGAAATGGTGAATGGATTACAACGAATTTGGTATCATATTAACTAATTTTGAAGGTCATAGACTCACTTAGTTTTATTACTATGTATAATTTATTTGT